CCTGGCTGCCTCTGCCTGGGTCTTTTCGCTGCCATTGGAGTCCCTTGGCAGGCTCATGGCTGGTGCGCAGAGGCCGGCGGAGCAGGGGCTTGTGGAAACCCCCGGCCCCGTGTGCCCAGCTGGAGAGCAGGGCCGGCGGCAGCACGAGGGCAGCCAGCGGGGAGCCAGCTCTGCTGCTCTGCGGAGCTGCGTGGGGTGAGGGGACAGCTCTGGTGTCGCGGGGCCTGAGAACGACACGGGCCTGGTGGGAATGTTTCTGCAACGGTCCCAAAGGATCATCCCCTGGTTACCCTGCAGCCGCTGTCCCAGGACCACGGCCCTTGCCCTGGGAGCCAGATGCCGAATATTCTGGCCTGGGAGGAACAAGACGGCCCGTCTGGCGGGCGGGCTGAGGGGGTTTTGGTGCTGCACTCTGCTAGGAGACCTGGCTGTTCACTCAGTGCCCCTCGTCCAGCCCCCGGGCCGCTCTGTCTCCCTGGGAGTGATTGAGCGCGTACGGGGGAACAGGCAGCCACCTAAACGCCATCCCCTTGTCCCAGTACATCCACCACCGCCTGATCCACCTCACGCCCGCTGACTACGACGACTTCGTCAACGCCATCCGCAGCGCCCGCAGCGCCTTCTGCCTGACGCCCATGGGCATGATGCAGTTCAACGACATCCTCCAGAACCTGAAGCGCAGCAAGCAGACCAAGGAGCTGTGGCAGCGGGTGTCTCTGGAAATGGCCACCTTCTCCCCGTGAGCGGGCGGACCGCCGGGGCCATGCAGGCCTCTACCCTGGGGAGCGGAGCTCCAGTCCCACCAGCGCGCCTCACGCTCGCCCTGATTTTAGTTTGAACTGGTTGGCAGCCGCTGATCTGCCGTATCGATGCCGTGACATTCCTGGCGCTCGGCTTCCCTGGCGCGTCCTGCTGCGCCGGGGAGGGAACGAGAAGCCGAAGAGCTGGCTTCCTTGTGGCGGAGCCTCGATTTTGCCCTGCGCCCCAGAGGCTGCCCCACGTGCGGTTTGCAGTGTGTGTGCAGGGGCCGGGAGCGTCTGTCTTCAAGCAAATATTTATTTTGGCATTTATACGTGTAAACTCTTTTGTATGGGCAGCGGCATAGGCCAGAGCTGCCCAGGAGGCTGGGCCTGGCTCGGCGCCACCGGAGCGCCCAGGCCCTTCTGCTGAGGAGCTGAGACAGGACTAGCAGGGTTGCCCTGCTGCCAATCTCCATAGTCCCTCCAGCAGCTGCTGGGGAGAGGCTGGGCAGTCAGGCCTGGTCTATGCTCAGCTGCCTGGAGGCTGGGCTGAGCGGCTTGGGCCCTACTGACCCTGGTCACTCTCAGTTGTACAATCGTGTTCCTGTGGGCTGGGCTCCTGCTCTCCTGTAATCAGTTTCTTAGCCCTCGTCTCTTGTTTCCTGATTAAACACTCGTTTTCTTAGAGGCCTTCCCCCATGTCTCTGTGCCCGGGTCTGCTGTGGTCAGCGAGCGCTCCGGCAGGCACCTGGGTGACTCCCAGCTGCTAGGGGCGGGTGACTACCAGTCAAACAGCAGCAGGTTGGGGATTCTTGGGCCTGGCCCAGGGCAGGGTCTCCTGCGTGTTGCTGCTTAGCGCGCCTGGCCTGGCTTTGTGTGGGACTTGCTGAGTGCGCACTAGAGTAGTTAGTTCTGCCTGTGGTGCTGTGTTTTCGGCACATGGCTCCCCCCTGCCCCTTTTGTTTCCTAACTGACAGGTGCCTAGTAAAGTGAAAAGCTGCTGAAGGGAGTCCCCATAAACCTCTGCACTGGGGGCTCGTGCTGCTGTCTCTGACTGGGCGTTCCTAGGCTGGCCCCCTTGGCGCGGTCCATACCTTTCAGTGCACAGCCTGGGTAACAGGGCCTGGGGCGTCAGGTGAGCTGCAGTACGGGCAGCCAGCGGCCGGGGTTCCTGCAGGTAGGTTCAGGCAGGCGCTGGAAGGGACGGTCTCAGCACCGCGCCAAGGGGGGGCGTGTTCTAGAATGTGTGATGTTACCGTGTCGCGTGAGGCCCTTGTGCTGCAGTAACTCGGTGTGGCGGCGCTGCGCTGGGCTCTAGGGCTGGCTGAGCAGAGGCCAGGTCCCAACTCGGTGTGGCGGCGCTGTGCTGGGCTCTAGAGCCGGCTGAGCAGAGGCCAGGGCCCTTGGCTGCACTAACTCGGTGTGGCGGCGCTGTGCTGGGCTCTAGAGCCGGCTGAGCAGAGGCCAGGGCCCTTGGCTGCACTAACTCGGTGTGGCGGCGCTGTGCTGGGCTCTAGAGCCGGCTGAGCAGAGGCCAGGGCCCTTGGCTGCACTAACTCGGTGTGGCGGCGCTGTGCTGGGCTCTAGAGCCGGCTGAGCAGAGGCCAGGGCCCTTGGCTGCACTAACTCGGTGTGGCGGCGCTGTGCTGGGCTCTAGAGCCGGCTGAGCAGAGGCCAGGGCCCTTGGCTGCACTAACTCGGTGTGGCGGCGCTGTGCTGGGCTCTAGAGCCGGCTGAGCAGAGGCCAGGGCCCTTGGCTGCACTAACTCGGTGTGGCGGCGCTGTGCTGGGCTCTAGAGCCGGCTGAGCAGAGGCCAGGGCCCTTGGCTGCACTAACTCGGTGTGGCGGCGCTGTGCTGGGCTCTAGAGCCGGCTGAGCAGAGGCCAGGGCCCTTGGCTGCACTAACTCGGTGTGGCGGCGCTGTGCTGGGCTCTAGAGCCGGCTGAGCAGAGGCCAGGGCCCTTGGCTGCACTAACTCGGTGTGGCGGCGCTGTGCTGGGCTCTAGAGCCGGCTGAGCAGAGGCCAGGGCCCTTGGCTGCACTAACTCGGTGTGGCGGCGCTGTGCTGGGCTCTAGAGCCGGCTGAGCAGAGGCCAGGGCCCTTGGCTGCACTAACTCGGTGTGGCGGCGCTGTGCTGGGCTCTAGAGCCGGCTGAGCAGAGGCCAGGGCCCTTGGCTGCACTAACTCGGTGTGGCGGCGCTGTGCTGGGCTCTAGAGCCGGCTGAGCAGAGGCCAGGGCCCTTGGCTGCACTAACTCGGTGTGGCGGCGCTGTGCTGGGCTCTAGAGCCGGCTGAGCAGAGGCCAGGGCCCTTGGCTGCACTAACTCGGTGTGGCGGCGCTGTGCTGGGCTCTAGAGCCGGCTGAGCAGAGGCCAGGGCCCTTGGCTGCACTAACTCGGTGTGGCGGCGCTGTGCTGGGCTCTAGAGCCGGCTGAGCAGAGGCCAGGGCCCTTGGCTGCACTAACTCGGTGTGGCGGCGCTGTGCTGGGCTCTAGAGCCGGCTGAGCAGAGGCCAGGGCCCTTGGCTGCACTAACTCGGTGTGGCGGCGCTGTGCTGGGCTCTAGAGCCGGCTGAGCAGAGGCCAGGGCCCTTGGCTGCACTAACTCGGTGTGGCGGCGCTGTGCTGGGCTCTAGAGCCGGCTGAGCAGAGGCCAGGGCCCTTGGCTGCACTAACTCGGTGTGGCGGCGCTGTGCTGGGCTCTAGAGCCGGCTGAGCAGAGGCCAGGGCCCTTGGCTGCACTAACTCGGTGTGGCGGCGCTGTGCTGGGCTCTAGAGCCGGCTGAGCAGAGGCCAGGGCCCTTGGCTGCACTAACTCGGTGTGGCGGCGCTGTGCTGGGCTCTAGAGCCGGCTGAGCAGAGGCCAGGGCCCTTGGCTGCACTAACTCGGTGTGGCGGCGCTGTGCTGGGCTCTAGAGCCGGCTGAGCAGAGGCCAGGGCCCTTGGCTGCACTAACTCGGTGTGGCGGCGCTGTGCTGGGCTCTAGAGCCGGCTGAGCAGAGGCCAGGGCCCTTGGCTGCACTAACTCGGTGTGGCGGCGCTGTGCTGGGCTCTAGAGCCGGCTGAGCAGAGGCCAGGGCCCTTGGCTGCACTAACTCGGTGTGGCGGCGCTGTGCTGGGCTCTAGAGCCGGCTGAGCAGAGGCCAGGGCCCTTGGCTGCACTAACTCGGTGTGGCGGCGCTGTGCTGGGCTCTAGAGCCGGCTGAGCAGAGGCCAGGGCCCTTGGCTGCACTAACTCGGTGTGGCGGCGCTGTGCTGGGCTCTAGAGCCGGCTGAGCAGAGGCCAGGGCCCTTGGCTGCACTAACTCGGTGTGGCGGCGCTGTGCTGGGCTCTAGAGCCGGCTGAGCAGAGGCCAGGGCCCTTGGCTGCACTAACTCGGTGTGGCGGCGCTGTGCTGGGCTCTAGAGCCGGCTGAGCAGAGGCCAGGGCCCTTGGCTGCACTAACTCGGTGTGGCGGCGCTGTGCTGGGCTCTAGAGCCGGCTGAGCAGAGGCCAGGGCCCTTGGCTGCACTAACTCGGTGTGGCGGCGCTGTGCTGGGCTCTAGAGCCGGCTGAGCAGAGGCCAGGGCCCTTGGCTGCACTAACTCGGTGTGGCGGCGCTGTGCTGGGCTCTAGAGCCGGCTGAGCAGAGGCCAGGGCCCTTGGCTGCACTAACTCGGTGTGGCGGCGCTGTGCTGGGCTCTAGAGCCGGCTGAGCAGAGGCCAGGGCCCTTGGCTGCACTAACTCGGTGTGGCGGCGCTGTGCTGGGCTCTAGAGCCGGCTGAGCAGAGGCCAGGTCCCTTGCTGCTGTCCCAAAGCTGGACATGTGCCGACTAGCCCCTGGCAGAGGGGATGAACAGACACTGGGCTCGCTGGACCTCTGGTTTTGCAGGGGGGAGGGGGAACAGTCTGTTGTCTTTGCCTAACGTGGAGCTGGCACATAGCCCACCCCTGTGTGAGGCTAGCAGTGGACTGAGCTGGTGCCTGCGTGGGGCCCCTCCTTGTGAGAACCTCCCCCCTTAGACGTGAGGGGCTGTGCTGGCCGGCTTGGGATGAACAGACACTGGGCTCGCTGGACCTCTGGTTTTGCAGGGGGGAGGGGGAACAGTCTGTTGTCTTTGCCTAACGTGGAGCTGGCACATAGCCCACCCCTGTGTGAGGCTAGCAGTGGACTGAGCTGGTGCCTGCGTGGGGCCCCTCCTTGTGAGAACCTCCCCCCTTAGACGTGAGGGGCTGTGCTGGCCGGCTTAGACTCAGAGGCTGGTCCTGGCTGCAACGGGGGGGATGACAGGGCTGCTGCCTTTAACCAGTGTGCCAGGCAGACACTGGCCGTGCACTGAACCAGACAGTGTAACCGTGCTGCTGGCTCTAGCTGCTCAGCCTCATGCCCCTGTTCCCGCCCTCCACTTGGTCCAGCTAAGCACAGCCCCAGGACACCAGGCCAAGCAGTCAGTGCGTAGAAAACAAGTGGTACGTTTATTGAACCCATTGATTGCTACTTCGAGCCTTTATTCAGACACTTGTGCTCAGTGGCGCGAGCCAAGAATTTCTCCATCTCCTCATTCAATGTGAATGACACTAACCGTGACTCCAGTGCAGGACGTGGGGCTCACCTCTGTTCCAATGGCGAGAGGGGTTTAGGGCTGGGCATTTTGGCCGCACCAGGTTTGCCCGCCTGTGGAGCAGCTGGATAAAATGCTCTAGTGCGTACGACACACATGGACACAAGGGTAAACGCACCAGTTCAAATACACAATACCTACGGCTCAGGGAGAGAAGCGGATCCCTGCAGCTTAACATTCAGCAGGGGCTGGGGCCGGGGCTGGCTGGTTTCAGCCCCACTCTCCGTACCGCAAGACCGGGAAGGTGGCATTCAGATGCCCATGGCTCAGCCCGCAGCAGAGGTGAAGTACTTGGCAGGAGATGTTTACACTAGTGCTTCCCGCCTCGTGCACCAGGACTGTCTTGGTTCACTAAGTGCGAGGCAGAGGAGGCGCCTGGTTGGCCCCTCTCTGCGCTCACTGAAGAAGCTAACTGGGCCGTGGAGGCTGCAGCTGGAACCTCCCTTCTCCTCGCTCTGGAAGACGACAGATTCCTGGGCCCTTGAGAGCGCAGCCGCAGCAGCTGTTCCCCTGGCTGGCTGCCCTGAAGCTGGGGTTCCCCCACTTGCCTGGGCTGCAGCAGCTCATCCCCCTCCCCCTGTGCAGTTACCCAAGCGGGGCTCGTCCCTGGAGTCGTGGTGCAACTGCCTTTCTGTAACAGGCCAGTAAGAGCCGGGCTCACTGTGCAGTAGCCAGGCGGGTGCCCCCGCCCCATGACACAGGGGGGAAGGCTCCAGCTGCGGCTCCTTGCTCGAGGGGGCGCCCGGGGGGGCTGCCCCGGGGGGGAGCGGCCTC